AACGAGGCAATGTAGTAGGATATTGCAGCAGCAAGAATTAATTTTGATCATCATTTTGGAAACATTATCCATGTTAGAAATATTACTGTAGATAAATTATATTTGCTAAGCCTTGGAAAAGGTTTAATTTGCTTTACAAGCTGCCACCTTAGACAGAGTTACTAACCTCACCCATGTAAAACTCTGAGATGGAAGCCCAAGCTCCAGGTCTTTGGATTATGCTGTTCTGTCCACCGCTACTCTTAGTTCAACACTTTCAGTCTTGCCCAGCTCGAATAAATAATTTCAACAAACAAGTAATGTCCTACATGAGGAAAGAAGACTGTATATAAAGAAAAGATGTGCTACTGCCACGGCCTGCTGAAATGGAGCGTTACTCCCCAGGCTTGTTAGAAACGAGCATGCTGGAAAAGAGATGGGGTGCATGAGAACACAAGCCCTGACTTCTTCCCATTACAGAAAGTCACCTCAGTGCAACTGAAAGCAACTGAAGGCTTTCAAATTCCTATTTTTTTTTCTTCTTTTTTTAATATTCAAGAATATAAAGTAGCCTTATTCAACCACGCACAATGTTGAAGGACTTGATCTTGCAGTGCCAGGATGGTGTGCTCACCCTACCTGGTTGCTTTGGCAATGAGCTGAGTTAGCAGAAAGGAGGCAGTGCTGCCTTTTATTCTTTCTGCAAGTGTATTTGAGTTTATCTTGACTTTTTTTTTTTTTTTTTCCCTTTTTCTTTTTTGTAATTACAAAAGGCAGAAGTGAAAATGTTCTCTTTCACATCACAAATGTTTTCGTTTTTTATTCAAATGGCATTTCGAGGTTTCTCTTTTCCAGGGAGAACGAAAAAAGAAGCCACAGCATGTATATTTTAATGCTTTCTACAAATAAACCATGCTGTGTTTTTTTCCTCTTCCCTTCGGTCCTCAGCAGCCAAACAAGTGCAGTCAGTTATTCTCACAAGTCCTTTTAACCATCACAAATGATGAAAGATTTCCTCTGACACGGGGAAGTTGGTGAGAACCCAGCATTCAGGAGTCTCTACCATTTTGATTCCAAGCTTTGTTGTTGTCCATCCCTGGCCACAGTGGCAGTAACCCACTCCAGAACTGCTTGTCCCTGGCCAGTCGTGTAAACGGGAAAGGAGAAAATTGGTCGGTATCCTTTCCCAGAACAGAGAAGACTGTGACTACAAATAATCTTTTCATTTACAAACAGATCCTTGGAAATGTGATGAGCACAAAGCAAGGAAGGGGTGAGTTCAGACTCAGCCAAGAGGACGAAGCCAGACGTGATTTGGCAGTGGGAAGACCAGGCTGAGTAATGTGCACTCGTGATTACTGCTGTCTGAGGGACATCTCTGAGAGCTGTGAGATTTATGTGGACCTTCTCCCATCATAGGCCGAAACAAATGGCATTTCATCCAAAATCTAAGAGTCCTGCTGGAATAACTCCAAAGCAGTCATCTGTTTAGATTCTTATCTGTAAATCAAGTGGGATATGTACAGAGTAAAGTTTAGCAGAGGATGAGATCACACAAGTACTGACTTAGTGGGTCATATATGATGGGATGAAATGAAAAGCTGCATGTAATCTGAACCAGAAATCACACTGCATGCAGTCTTCTGTAAGAACTTCCTCCAACACAGCAGACAGAAGCTGCATTTCTATCAGATACTCATAATAATTAGATGGGAGCAAGCAAAATGTAAAGACGTGCTATGGCTTCTAGCTATTCCATGCTAGAGAGCTTAGAGTTAGGTAGCTGATAAGAAACAGCTACTGATTAGGCATCCCAGCAACGTAAACCTGCAAGTGTTGGACTAGGCAGATTCTTGGCAGCAGCGACCGACTCAGTATGGGTCTCCTGCTGCCAGTACTTTCCTTCCTTTGTAACATGAAATTCTCATGTGGATACAGGCAAAAGGTAATAATTGGGTGCCACCACTTATCAGAAGGCAGGGAAGGATATACAGACGTGGGTGTTGATATGGCACTGTACTAAAGCATTGCCCAGGTCCTGCCCACATCTCTCTGTTTCTGAGGCCTTTTATGTCATCCACTGGAAAAGTGCAAAAATGCTCTATTGCTGTTTTCACTTATGCAGCTTCTTGGCTAGAAAACCAGTTTAGAATCTCCTTTTACCAACATATTAGCTGAAATAAGATCAGAAAATACACTTGTCACCCAGGACGTCAAACCATCAAGGTACTGCAGTCGTAAGCTGAATTGTTCTGTTAGTTCTTGGATAACTAAGTGTTGTACAGTATAATTTAAGCTTGTTTGTCCAACAAGCTTTGTAACTCTCAGACTTACAAGTTAGGGTCTGTTTTTCTTTCTTTCCCTCCTGTCCTGGTCAATATGCAATAAGTGCGTGTCCTGTAGAGTTGTTCTGAAAATCCAGAGCAGAACAGATGTCAGTTCCTGTACTCTTAGGCTGTGTGTGATGGTCCAAGTCCTTGATCTCAAGTAGGCAGAGTAGAGATATCCTTGAGAGGAGAGGTTCAATTAATAGTATGCAGAGATGGGCTGTGGGAGAAGGGTTCATCACTAAGCACGTTGATGGGGAGCTCTAATGCCACGCACATGAAACTCTTTCCTACTCTGATCTTTGGCTATGAGGCCAACTTGGTTCTTAAGATACTACTATGTGGGAAATGCTTTTTCTAGATGACATTTCAACTTGTCTAGTTTGGTTCATCTGATCCAGCAAGAAGTTAATTGCACAGGGAGTTATACTGGTGGGAATGAATCCTCTGTGAGAGGTGTTGGAGGGGGAGGTGTAAAGACTTTGAGTGTGGACAGTATAATAGCAGTGACACAATGCCTGGGCACCCTGTGCTACGCTCCTCTGATTCTCAGACAATCCAAAACCTTTCTAAGCTTGTCTGAAAACAACTGGACTCTATGGATTGCATGGAGAGAGTAGAAGCAACTGGTTGAATGTGGAGGGAAGGTAATCTAACAGCTAAAATTGATTCACCGCAGAGGAAATTGCTGTATTGTTGTGGAGATCACAGATGTAGTCATTGTAGTATTTTGCCATGGAAACCACAGGGGATCAAGGGAAAAATATGTCATTGCCCATTTTTAATCATCTCTCTTTTTTTTTTTTAATTGAGAATGATGTTTTTGCAGCCATGAAAAGCCACTTCACTGCTGAACTTACACGATGAAGCTCTCAAAGCCAAGCTCAAGAATCCCAGATATTGGTGGTCACATATTCTATCAAATTCTAAATAGTAGTGAGTGTCTGAGGAAAGCAATGCTACCCTCATTATAAACCAGGATGGGTGACCCTTGCACAGAGGGCACACAGCAATTTAAGGATGGGGTTTAGTGATGAGTTTTGCCCTGGACTTCTTAGATGACTTTCATCAAAGCTGCTCACATTGATTATTTCTGGGTAGTGATTTGACCTGCTCACATGGAAGATATTTTTGTCAGTATGTGATCACCATTGCTTCTGTAGACACAGAATAAATGCAGTTGATTGAGCTTGGCCTTGGTATGATGCTTTTTCTGATTTCTGATTTCTGTTTTAATCCACAGAGGATACAGTAAAAGTCCTTATGCAATGTCTTTGCTTCTCAAGATGCTCCAGAGCATTAAACCTTTTGCTTTCAAAAGAAAGTGGTTAAGCCACACAGAAAAGAAGACTTGCCATCCCAAGCTTGGGCTTTATCAACCATGTCAACAGTGGATGTAAACCAGCTTAAGGAGGAGGTGAGCTGTGAAACTGAACCTATGAACAAGGAAAAACTCATTGATTCCTCACTGCAATATATTTTCCACTGTCTAATATTCAAGTGCATTAAATAATGTGCCTTTTATAAGAATAATTACTGTTAGCTTGCATTTGCCTGCTAGGCATTTCTCCAAAGCAGAGGAAGTCTGAAGCTTTGTTCTGAGTAATAAAGACCTGAAAAGACAGCACTACTTAACTGGGCACACAGCAAGAATGAACCACATCATGCAGAGGCAGATGTGACACACTTGGGAAAGCAGGAGAGGAGGATGCGAAGTTGAAGTAGGTATGCTCACCTACAATACAGAAATGATTTAACACCATATGGCAAAAGTGCCATCATTTTGTAATAGTGTGGCTATCACCATCACGTGTGACTCTCACCCCCAAAAGACATTCAGCCATCTAGATCGTGCTGTGTTGTGGCTTTCTTTGTGGTGGTTTTTGGGATCACACGTGGTACTCTGTGACCTGGTTGGTACTGCGTCTTCTTCTGACACAGATGTTCTCAAAGAAGGACCAATGGATGTGTGAGCAGAGCATGACTGTGTAGCCTGGTCTTTCCCAGGTGAACTGCTTGGTCCCTTGAGGAGCTGGGAAACAAAGGCGCTGGAGTACAAAGAGGTGAGAATGGAGCATGAGAGAGATGGGGGCAAGCCTGGACAAAAGGGTTGGGGTTGAGTTAGGTGAGCAGAGGGATGGAGGAGTGAGTTAGAGAAATTACTGCAACCAACCTCTTGGGTCACCCCATTCCTGAGATTGTTCAGTCTAGAGAAAAGAGGAGGCTCAGGGGAGACCTTACTGCCCTCTCCAACTGTCTGAAAACACGTTGTAGCAGGGTGGGGATCAGACTTCTTTCCATTAAGTTGTGCCAGAAGAGGTTCAGATTGGATGTTAGGAAAAGTAGGCATTGGCACAGGCTGCCCAGGGAGGTGGTGGAGTCACTGTCCCTGGCGATGTTGAGAAATAGGATGTGGCACTGAGGGAAATGGTTTACTGGATGTGATTGGGATGGATTGATGGTTGGATGGTTGGACTAGATGACTGTAGAGGTCTTTTCCAGCTTCTCTGATTCTATGATTGAAGATTGTTATGCATCACTCTAGGCTCGTTACCTCTTAGATTCAAACAATCTGGACCACAGAATCAGAGAATCATAGGATGGCTTCTTCTTCATAGAATGGCTTTTTTTCCTCCACCACCTTTGTGTCTTCTTCAGAACTGAGAAAAATGAATTCAAACACCAGTTGGAATATCTTAGACACGACTTCTTCACAATGGTTTTATTGCTTGTTTTCAGCAGTGTCAACCACAGAGAAGAACCTCCTCTGAAGCAAGGAGATGAACCAAGTACAAAGGAAAAAAAAAATAGCCATTTCATTGCATTTGTACAGAGTCAGAACAAAATAAATAACATCAGGCAAAAGGCCATGAAACAAGGTGGAGATTTCACCTGTGCCAAGCAAGTAGGCCTGTTCCAAATACATCACGAGCACCTACGTACATAAAAATCCACAGAAATGTGGCTTAACAATGATTCCCTGTTCATAGCCAGTTTTCATCACTCTTTGCTGTCAAAGCATATTTACAGGAGGGCAGAACAGGGGGGCTAAAAGTCTGAATGAGTTTTCAGAGTCACCAAAGAGTTGGTTGGCACCAGCTACTGAACAAGGACAGCCTGTGCTGTGTTTGAAACAGAATATGAAAAATACACTCTTGAATTCAAAAGTTTTTGTTTTTGTTTTTAAGCTTGATTTATTATCCACAGAGTATAAAAGAATGTGTGACTTTTTGCTTTTTGAATGTGCTCTTCAGATTTCCTCTATGTACAAGTTTACAGCATCCACAAAACTGGGGTATAAACCGCCAACTGCTCTACTGATGTCAATTTTTGTGTCCTAAAGGCCTGGCCTTCAGAACACTATGGGCATGAATTTCCCATAGAGACCTGCTACACAGTTTCCAGTCCCAATGACTATCTTATCCCTGTGATTCTGCAGCAGTGTGCAAAGAAGTAGGGTTTTGAAGTAGGGTTTTGAAGTAGAGGTAGGGAAAGAAGTAGGGTTTTGAACCCAGGGCTTCTCAACACAATGCAACACCGTGCAAGGGAGCAAAGTCTGAGGACTTCCAGAGAAAAGGAGGGGGAAGAAGTGGTCTGTTAGCCCAGGAAAGCCATGGTTTGTAACTTTATAGATATCTGGGGGAAATAAAAAGATCAGTTGTAACTGTATTTCATCACACCAGCGTATAAATCCTGGCTTTGGGAAGAGGGTAAAAGCTCGTTGACTGAAAAAAACATTGAATTCTATGCAGCTCTGGATTTTGGGATGTCTGACTCCAAGTACCAGACTGGGATTTAGTTCTATTCCCTGTAACACCAGCTAGTTACAATCCCACCAGAGTCACTCCAGATTGATATGAATGCACACGAGGCCAAGGGTTGGTCTCCTGCTCCTCTAGGGTCATCTACAATTGAGAAGCATCACAGTCCCATCCAGCATAAATACTGGTGTGTGAAAAATGCAAAGCTGCCTGGGGAGTCATGGAGCCCTGGACTGCAGTCTTTATTGCCAAGAATTCAGCACTTTCACCATTGGTGCAGAGACAGCTGTGCCCAGTCCAACATCTTCTTCAGCCCAATGAGCTACTTGAAGGCAGAGAGGATGGCACAGCAGAGGGAGGTGTTTTACACAGTCAGAGAGCTCAGACCCTTCACCTTGCAGGGAAGATGGGCTGCTGTCAGGCTCTGTGCTTTTCTACCACATGTGTTCCCAATGACATTTAACCAAACCAAGTGCTACCAGGAACCTGTGTAGACAGAATGAAATGCACTTCATAATGACACATGTTGGCACTCCCAGGTCTCAGAGACCCCTTTCTAGTCCAACAGTATATGATTTCTTCAAAAATCCTATGGGGTTTTATGCCTTATTTAAACACCATGCTGATGGAAGAAGGAATGGAGATGGTGATCAAAAAGAAACCCTTCAATCTCTGCAATGGAGCCAAGCAGTGTCCACTCCTCAGCTTTCTTTGTAACTTCATTTTCCTTTCTATAAACCAACTGGCAACTGCCCATTGATTAGCCAAAAATAAACCCCACCACCATCCAACCCAACAAAATAAATAAACATCAAATGTTTTATCTTCTGAGCTTGTTTGGAATCCCTTTTTCATTCCAAAACTGCAGCAATGATGCTGCTGCATATAGTCCTGTTTTTAAAAAATAATTTCAAATTAATGCCCTAGAATTCAGTCACAGCCTAGAATTCTTTTACTGCTCTTTTTCAAGCCCTAAACATGGTTATATTTCACACTGCTTATCAGAGGGACACAGAGCCATACAGGTCTCATCTGGATAGAAATATCTACAGCCTAATGTTAGCATTGCACCTTGCACCTCTAGACCTTGAGAAGGTCTTTTAATTTTTATATTCTAATTGCTCCATGGTTAATAATAATTGTTTAAGAGTTTATTCACTGAAACCTTGAGTGACTAATTAACAGGATTGGATTTGATCTCTCACTGATATAAAAAGAGAGTAAACAGTTCCAGGCTGAAAGTAAAGGAATTCTTCTGAAGTCAAATTCTAGTTTCCAGCTTGTGTAAATCAGGAGTCACGGTTATGAACTGAGGGATGCAAGAGGGGTGAGAATTTGGTGTCATTTCTGTAAAGCATTTTGGGATCCAAACTCATTATCTTCAGACACATCTGAAAAGCACAGAGTATCCAGGAACGACTCTTAATCATCTTTTTCACTAAGATAATTCACTTGCATTCATTGAAGTTGCTCCTGTCCCACTGGTCAGGCTCGTGCTTGGTGACAAGCAGCAACAGCTCTGAGCACTGGGACATTTACTCAGCATTGCTTTGGGCAATACGGTTTGGGCAGTCATTTGGGGCTGCAGTGAGGTCCTTGAACTCCATTTTATTGATGAGTTGGATGAAAATCACATTCAGAGTAGAGGAGGCCAAGCTACCCGGCCAAATTCCTGCACTAAGCACCTAAACAAGGGCCTGATCCAAAAGCCAGAATGGGCAGAGAAACTCATTCACTTGATTGCTCAGATCCCCAGAGAGAAAAGCTTTGATTTCATCACTGACTCCTCTCTTCTCCCAGAATTTGAATCCAACACAGCTGGGCTGGCAGCTCTGCCATGCCCATCACAGCATGTTCACTTGGTCTCTTCATTGACCCTTGACAGCTTAATCCAGTTGGATGCGTGGTGATGAACCAATTGTAATGGAGTTCTGAAGGTGCAAATCAGTTCAGCTCAGGGGCTGCAGAAGGCCTTGTTGCATGGGTAAATAAGCAGCCAAACTTTTCCCTGTCATGTCTCCATTGAGCAAAACCATTCCTGCTGGCTTTGGCCATAGTGCTGGCCCAGGGCTGTAAATAAAGAGGAGCTGTAAATGAAAGGCAGAAGTTCGTCCTGCAGATGGAATCACAAGCACAGGGAGAAGAAAAGGAAGGTAAAAAAAAAAAGAAACACAGAACAAAAATGCACAAGGTGTCTCAGGCTTGCAGGCACTGACCACCTCCTGCTGCCAGCAGCAGTACTCCACTTGATTCTCAACAGCTTTGGGCTTCAGTTCCTCTGTTGCTGGTATGGGAGACTTGGCACTGCTTATGGGAGTCCTCCAGCACCTTCTGCATGAGTCCTAACCCAGCTCTGGAAGCACTCAGAGCAGCAGAACCAACACCAAGCACCAAGTCCCTGCCTCTGAGAGCCCTGTGAGAATGTTTCTCTGCATTTTGGGAATTGAGTGGCTGCTGAGAGGACTTTGAATATTTCATGGCACTTGGATTCTGACTGCTAATGAAATAGTTTCACTGTAGCATAGCCACTTAGAGATCAGCATTTTACATGGTAGTAGGACAAGGGGGAACAATTTTAACTAAAAGAGGGGAAATTTAGGTTAGCTCTTAGGAAGACATTCTTTATTCTTAAGCTGGTGAGGCACTGAGATTGCTCAGAAAAGCTGTGGATTCCCCATCCCTGGAACTGCTCACGGCCAGGCTGGATGGGGCTTTGGGCAACCTAGTCTGGTGGGAGGTGTCCCTATCTATGGCAGGGGGGTTGGAAATAGATGATCCTTAAGAGGTCTCTTCCAACACAAACCATTCTATGATTGATTTTCTGATTCTAATGAGAACAAAGATGACCCAGACTGGCTAGCCTGGAGTTTTGCCAGCAGTTTAATACCAGGACCATGGGGATCAGCACAGCTATCTTCACAAATATCTATCTGCTCTAGGTTTTCCAAGCTGGGTAGCCATGATTACTCCATGACAGGCTGGAAACCCGTGGGTACATACCTACCCTTCACAGCAGTTTTATCAGAGTATCTCACATCAACTGATGTCAGTTGTGTGTGCTGTCCTCAGGCCTGAATGTGGGGCAGTATTTTGGCAGCATCCAGCTCAGATGGCAACAGTACAGCTCTGGGGAGAGGTATGCAAAGGAAAAACCTCCCCTCAGAACTCAGAAAGGAATGGGATGTCCTGATCTGCAATTCTCCTGGGCTCAGTGTGGTTTGTTGGCAGTGAATTTGAGATGCTTAAAGCAAGCAAGCAAACAAGTGAGAAAAAACCCCAAACCCCGAAGACTCTAAATTAAAGATGTTTCCCTTCAAGGAACTACAATTTAATTTGAGAGAAAGAAGAGTCCAGTTGCTGTTAGTGGAAAAGTTGAGATCTCTGATCTATGAAAACACTCATATTTGCTTTCCATGTACACGTGTTAATTTGGTGACTCAGACTCCTTCCCAAGGACACTGATGTAACATGCTGTAGTAGAACAATGGCAGCCCAATTATTCAGTTTACACCTTTGCTTGTCGGAGATTTTCCACCCCCAGTGTAAAACTGATGTGTCCTCATACAATGCAGTCGGGTGGGAAACAGCCACGAGCATCTGCATCCTTAGGCTATTTTCTAAGGTTGGGATGCATGGCTTGGGAATGAGCTCACGTGATGTGAGCTGTGAACCACCAGCCTGGTGTGCCAGAACAGGATTTGGTTTCACTCCTTCTCCCCTCCATCGAGGAAAGGGAAGAAAAAAGAATAACAGTTCCCTTGGTTTCAGCAAGCTCTATGTACATCCTTCAAACAGGGACTGCCCCAGTGTGAAAACTAATAGGTCTTCAAAAACGACATAAAATGCACATGCGTCTCTTAAAGATCTAACAGTGCCTTTATCATAGGATGAAAGCTGCACAAGCTGAAGAAGAAATCAATTTAATAGCTCCCTCACTCCTTTCCGACTCCTGGAGTGCCAGTTACGTGCTGAGCCAACCTTGTTTTGATGAAAGCAATTTTGCTTGCTGCTGGGAAGCTAATTTTTTCATCTGGAGACTGGCTCCTTATGTCAGGCCTGATTCAATTAAGGATTACAGGGTTCTACATCTTCCCTCTCCTGGCAGTGTGCACTAAGCAAGTGCAAATGGATTGCAGACCAATTGCTTTCCCCCGATCCCTAATAATGCTGGGTGCAGTAATGCACCAAGATCTACAGGTTCAATGAACAAGTATGAAAAACACAGCCGTACTCCACAGTTGGCATCTGTACCTGGTTTTTATACATGCAAACCATTCAGTGAAAACAACCAAACAAAGCATGTTGATGTCCTGAACGCAGCACGGAGAAGGGCATTTTGTGCTGGTCCTTCTCAGCAAGCTGCTCTTCCAGAGGGTACCCAATGGCACATGGAAAGTTTCAGCTAACGAAGATGGTGAGCAATTAGCAGAACACAGTCCAACATCAGAGCATCCTTCCGGGGCCTTGCCTGGTGCTGCAGCTTCTTTGCACTGTGCAGCTTGGCCTCTGCCTTTCCTGCCTGTGTTCTTCCTGTCCCTTCTCCTTGCTGCTTCCAGCACCACATCACCACTTCTTAGCGGCTGGGCTTTTGGCACATTCATAAGTTTGGCATTTTTTTCCCCCCATTTCTTTCTCCCTCTCTCTGTCCTTTACTGGCTCATTTAAAACAACAACAAAAAAAAGTGCAATTTATCTGTTTCAGAGATGCCGGTTCCGGGAAAGCCACCACTAACTCAAGCTCTTCCCTCCCATACCCCCAAAATTCAGTATTTATAGCACATTAGGATCTCCCAGGCTCTCCTCAAATGACTGGGACCTTTACTCAGCATTATCAGCCCCACGGGCACCAACTTAGAGAGAAAGGTCTGAAAAGAGGGAGAGGAAAAGTATTTCTCTGCCTCTTAGCTTGTCTGATCTCGTTCTGGATGCCAATGGCTTTTCCAGTTCTCTGTCCTCTGTTGGCTCAAGTGGAGCATGTCATTTCACAAGGATTTGTCCATAGGTAACTGATTCCTGGGGATCCTTCTCTCTCTTGGATGCTCAGTGCTCAGAGAGCCTCTCTCCATCAAACCAGAGAGAATTCTGCCTGGAAGCTGGAGCACCGGCGTGTCTTTGGTGAGCACTTGGTCAGCATGGAGATCTGGGTGCTGAAGTTGGTGCCGTTGCTGCCCAAAGAAGGGTGGTGGTACTTCATGTCAGAGCCCAGGAACCGCTCCAGGTGCCACCTCCGCCACTTTCTCTTGAGCTCAGCTTGGACCTACATGGTGGAAAGATAAGCAAGTCAGCAGAGGAGAGCATATGTAGGGGTAATAAGTGTTTATAGAGGTCACTGAACTTGGGAATAACTGCTAGTCACACAGGGGAGATAATGCTGCAGCAAGTAGATTCCCTCAGCAGAAATCCTTGAGCTTAATCAGAAAGGTGAGCATGGGGAGTTGCTTATCTGATAAAGTGAAGATGTCAGACTACTTAACTACTACAGCGTGTGAGTATAACTGGGATTCTTCCCACTGCCCTGCTTTTCATAGATGTAGAATCATCTAAGCTGGAAAAGACCCCAAGATCCCTCAATCCAACCATCTACCTGCCACCAATATTTGCCCACTAAACCATGCCTCCCCAGTACAACATCTAATTGTTTACTGTCCCAGTAAAAATGATTTAACTGCAGCTTGTTTGTAAAGCAATCAATACAGCTGTGCTTTTTGATGGAGGTTTCTTGTTTCTATTCAGGGTGTTTACACACATCATTTGGTTTACACCATTCATGTTCAAACCCTGCACAAATCTGGCCACAGTCCCCATCCCCTCATGCAGGCTTTGAGTGCAAAGTTTTGGATTGTGGCATCAATTAGATAAAACAGCTCTGAGGGTCTCTGGGCTCAACAAGCACAAGAACAGGACACCACAAATGCAAACTCCAGTGTTGGAAATGTGGGAAAGTCAAAATCAAAACCTGTAAGCTGGAAATACATTCACCTAGCACAGGTCTGGGCATAATAAGATACATCAGTCCTGTTTGGGTTTTGGACCATCAGGAAGTCTGTGTGGCGCTGCCCTGCTCCAAACAGGCTCACTAGCTAAGGTCCCTGCTGGAGATGGGCTCTGTGTGTTGACCACGTCAGCATGGCTGGAAGAAGGATCAGAGCTCTAAGAGAACAAATTGATTCTGAACACTCTTCCTCTCCTCAGAAGCTGGAACACAAGCCCAGAGCACAGCTGCTTCCTTCCTGACAGTTTATCGAGCTGAACAAGCTCCATCTGACAGCAGCTCCAAGTTCCCAGCTGCTCATACCTTCCCAATAGACTTCACCATTTGGGTTTAATCAGTCTCTGCTGAGTCTCTTTCTGGCAGATGGAGCGTGGTACAAAAATATCACTGCACTAACAAGCCTCCATTTTGTCAGTGGGTCTGATTCCGAGGTTGAGGTTTCAGGAGATTCTAAACCTGAGTAGAGCTTGAAAGATGGGCACATCCTTCCTTGCTGAAGGTGTTCCCTTTAATTCAGGATTTAGGCAAGGTTTTGCTGATACCAATGAGTAAAGGAAGGACTCAGCAGCAATTATTAGTCCTAATATGTTTATTAATTTTGCTGGAAACTTTCTGGCTAATAGTTGAGTTGTTTACATGGGGTGAGTGACTTGACTTGGAAGGTTTCCCCAGTGTGATAGCATCAGGAATGGGACACTCCTTAATCTGCTCTCCACAAGCATTCAATTTGCCATAGCAGCAAATATTAACCAGACAACATTGTTGATCTTACCTCTCCATTGAGAAAACAGTAGAGGACAGCCACCACGAAACCCTAGGGGGAAGGAGAAAGCAGGCTTTTAGCAACGCCTAGCTTGTATTCTCCTAGATCACAACCCAAGCCCATTGCAGTCCTGGAGAAAGGGCATAATGTCAGAGAACTGCTAAGGTGCCTCTTACAAACCAACCGATCACATTTTCCCTATAAAAGGAGAAGAGGAAAGTTGCTTAGGGCACCTTGGAGCAGATGCAAGGCTTTGAATTCAAGGCTTGCTCCAAATCGGTGCTTAAATCCATCAGGCATCACTTCAGCTCTAAGCAGGACACCTGGCCATTCAATCTTAAGCACTGAAGGCAATTTGGTGGGATAGTAGAGGCAACTTTCCTCGGGAAACCTGAACTGTGCAGAGATTGAGAACACAAAGTGGCTACAACTGCTTGACGGATGGATGCAATTGCACAAACAAGTGCTTCTGTTCATGCAACAGCAAGGCCAAGGTAAACAGCCCAACGCTGGGTGTGAATGAGGTGAGGCTTGTGGGAAGGTATACAAAGCAAACTCCATCAAAGGTTTACTCAGGATTAATGCGTCCTCGTGGGGAACCTGACTCCTCCTCCAATAAAGTGCAATCCTACTTGGGCAGGATTTAGAGGCAGAACTCTTTTAGCAGAAAATATAGTTCATGAAAGCCAACTGGTCATAGACTAGGATGCCATTAATGGCCAGAAAGACTCTTCCTGAAGTCTACTCATCACATCTTACTGTGTTAATGATATCTAAACTGGATGAACATGCTTGATTTTCTCTTGTAAGTACAAAAAAGCCCCAGAGGGACTAGCATATAGAAGCGCGTTTTCTTTCCAGGTGCCTAAAACAAGGAGAGAGAAACTCCTGGTAAAGTATATATAAATCTCATGGTCCACTTGGTGACTTACCTGGAATGACCCAACCACGAGCTCAAACACCAGCTTAACTTCTGCTTTGAAATTGTCAGGGAAGAAAGCAAACATGATGTAGTGAATGCCAAAGAGAGGGATCAGCAGCAAGGTGGACTTGGCCAGTCTCCTGTTGGAAAGACAAACATGAGTCATGAGGGAAGAGGGAAGAGGAGCTAAAGGGTAAACTGATGAGAAATCCTGCAGCTGAACTTTATGCACCCCTGAAACTCCAACTTGCTGCATGCAGAACCTATTTGCTGATTATTAGGACCGTGGTAGGGCAGCCATGCACACTAAAATGTTTCTTTTCGTTGGGATATGTGATGTGGGCCACCTACTCTGAGGTCCTGGGAACATCCAGGCTTTCAATAGCATCCTCAAACAAGGCAATGTCAGCAGGCTGCCCTCACCTACTAAGCAGAAATGTCTGGGCTATACCAAAAAGGAGGGAGCTAAGATCAGTTCCCCATTGCTTACTCTCCCCAGGATCCTTCTAACAACCCGGGCTGGGATGTGATGGAACATAGAAGCAGACCTTCTGCTGGGCACAGTCAGTTGCTAGCTACAGCAGTTCATGGAACAAAGGACTGTGCTGGGAGCGCTTCCACGTGCTCCCTTTCCACCTCATGAACAGTTCTCAAAGAAATACACATCTTCAGCTGAGGGAGAGCCATCAGCCCCAGTTTGTTTCCCCTGCAGACTGCAGATGGTTGGTGAATTCAGATGTGGTGACAACATAAAATGTGCTATCTTTATTCCCCGTAACTTCAATGGAGGTATTTCTTTCTCCCCTCCTGCTGGAGATCTTTTTTCATCTCTACAAGCTAAACCATTATCTAGTGTCTTCTTTGTTTACTTAGGATTTCTGGAAATTACAGCTTCTGGGAGAGAAATGGTATGTTTAGCTCAGAATAATGATAGACTATTGCACAATGAATGTCTCCAAAGGAGGGGGATGAACAGTATTAGTGCTTAATGGCATCAGGCTGGGTAATGAGTGGTCTAATTAGGAAGAGATGATAATTTATTAAATCTAATCATTATTAGAATCTAGCTGACAAAAAAGAAATAAAAAATAAAATAAAAAGGAAATGCTTCAGAATGCTTAAGGGGGTTTTGGCTCTCTTGGTCACCCACATCCTTCTGCATCCCCCTCTCCCAGAGGCTTCTGGAGAAACTGAAGCTCAGGCAAAGGTGTTGGAACACTTGTTCTTCCATCTACAAACCCTTCTGGTTCCATCTGGCTCAGTCTCCCCAGACAATCTTCATTTATTTTCCATCTGTATAGACCTGCAGTAAAGGCTCATGTGCCAGCATATGCAGATGATGCTTATCAGCTTATTACTTATCTCCCAGTAGACCTTTCCAGCTTTCCCTGGGCCAGGCCCAATGACAGTTTGATGTTAAAATTCTGCTTGGAGGCTGTGGTTCCCCATGGAATACCTGCTGGCTGCAACTCATTCCAGGCAAATGGAATGCCTGTAGGAAGCAAGGACTGTCACTGTCATGAACCAGCCTATGAGCAGGGTCCATAGACTAACCCCTAGGAGTTCTATCCTCCCGTTTGCACAACACCTGAGACCAGTATCTCACTTCCAGCACTAAGCTTCCCAGAATACCGAGTGATGTTTTGGATTTTATGTCATCTTCAAGGCAAGTTTGGTCTGGCTCTGCAATATTGGAAAAATCCCCCTACAAACTGCAACAAGGAAAATTGTCTTCAATATGTCGTGGTGTGTTACTCCCAGGAAGCTAAAGACTGGCTGTGCAGTAGACATAAATGCATGGGAGGCTGTCTGAGGCTGGTTAATGTTACCTGAAGGAAACCATGTTTCTCAAAAAATTAACTACCTTCTCCTCCTGTCACAGAGTGAACTTCTTATACCTATCCTCTCTGATGTGGTGACAGATGATTTAGGAAAAACACATCTCCACTATCCAGCACTGCACTTGTTCCTCTCCTTTGGAGAGGAAAGAGTTAAACAACACTTTGCTCCTGAACACATAATGGAAAGTTGCCCAGAAAACTTTGATGATAATATTGAATCATGAACATGCACAGAATGGAATGAGATGAATTTTGCTCAACATTTCTTCTGCAAAAAAAAAGGTGTTTTCTTCTTCTATTTGCCCTAAATATTGCTGTCCTGCTCTTGCACAAATCTCTGTCATTTGCAGAAAACTGTTTTAGAAGACTTGTTTTCACAGTTTCTGACATATTAAAGCCCAGCTCAGTACCTGTAGCATTAATGAGTGAGTGAATCAGCAGTGTACCTGAATTTCTACCCTGCAGATAAACTGAAACCATTTGGAGCTGAACAATACTATCAACATATCAACACATTATTTTTTAAATATAAACAATATAAAATAAACAAGAGGAGGAGGAAGAAATGGAAACAAGAGAATCACAGTGTTGTCATTTTAAAGCCTGCTTATCCCAGATGTGGCAGGGGGAACCAATGCATATCATTACCAACTGGTTTTGGTAAGCTTTCTGGGTCCTGCAGGACAAAGCCCTGAAGCTAGCATCAGCATTTCAGGTAACAGGGGTATGACTTATAAAAGGATCCAGGCTGCAGATTACATGCTTAATCACAGAATCACAGAATCACCAAGGTTGGAAAAGACCTTTAAGATCATCTAGACCAACCATCCTCCTACCAATGGATGACTCCAGGTTCTCTACAGCTAGTCATCTGAACACTAAACGTTGAGGACCCTTGCTGGGATCCAAACCTTAAGTTGAGACTCTTAACATTATTTTCTACAGGAGACTATGGTGCCTCATGTTTCATTGCAGTCAACAGTCAGTAGAGACTTTCAGACAGACCATGGAGTCTGGTTGTACATATACACAAGTTACACACTAGTCTCCCACAGGTGCAGTGTCATATATGCCAGATCCAGACAAGCGTATCAAACATCCTAAGGCATCTGATATGGCTTGGACACCCATATGTGACTGATTTGTGCCTGAATGGAGCTGAGATGCTTTTCCAGATGGATGAGGAAGGAGAAGAATTGAAGATGTGAAGATCATTCATCCTTCTGCAATTGGTTCCTATTTGACAGGCCAACGTGGGGAAGCCTTTGTTACTTACTGCCCTGTCATGCAAGGCTTGTTTACCAGGCAAAGAAGATTTACTGGCAATTCACACTTCACTGGAAAATAAGTAGAAAAAAAGCTGTGAGCTCAAAGCTCAGCATGACCTGCTAGGTAATCTGGGCATAACCCTTCTGATGAGAGGCTGGCAGCACTTCTAGGGAGATGAACGGGAGCCAACTGCCCCAGGCTGCTGCATAGTAAGTACTAGAACATATTTCAATATGATGATTTAATCTACCCACCTGGCTAAAGCTGTTGCAGTCTTGGTTTTGGGAATATATATTGCCCAACTTGAAATACATAGAGATGTGATAGAAAACACAGGTCTGGTAATGTTGGTGTGTTACGATGAAAAAAGAAATCATTGGCTTTGTGTGCTGCAGGGAGAAGTTAAGGTGAAATACTGGAATTTTCCTTTATAAATCTGAGAATCTCTGGAAGGAGATGAAATAGATGATTTACCATCACTAGAGAAAAAGGCACAGAGTTGTGGTTGGTCAATATTTAAGCTCTGTATTCATTTTAAGTCTTCCACTTTGCTGAAGGATGAACTGAGTTCACATTCTTCAAAGTACACAGCTCCCTCAAAAAGTAAAGAAGATTTTATGAACAGTGAGCAGGTAGACACTGCTCTTCTTCCTTTTTAGTTATTTTCTAGAAATCCTTTGATAGCATCCTGGATATTTGAAATGCTAAGCCAGGACAGAAGCAGGAGGTAAAAATGAGACGATGTCTGAACTTTTATTTTATTTGCATTGAAGATATAAGAAATCCATACAGGAAAATGGATTTCTTGTAATTTTAAAACGCTGCACCAAAGACCAGTCTTACACACTGAGACAAATTCTCATTTCACTTGCACTGTTGTTCATTATAAAGAGCCCCAGTAAGGTCAACTTTATATCCTCGGGACAAAAGCTAGATGATAAGCAAAACTCCTCAGACAAATTTGTTTCTCAAGAGCAAAGAGAAATGAGTACGTGAGGGATGGATTAATGCAATCCCGTTCAGGAGTCATCGTTAGGATATGGAAAAACTGCCATAGATTCTACTGAATGCATGGATTTTCTCAGTTTCTACTCTGAAGAAATGAGTTGAGGGCAATTGCTTCCCTATACTGTAGATGGATACACTTTGTTCTTCACCAGGGTCCTCTGGCCTTCAGGATCCAATAAATATTGATTAAAGGCCTTTTTGTTTAATGAACGCTACTCTTACTCTCATGCCCACCAGCGAAAGGCCTGTTTCTTGGTTTCTGATCATCTTTAGCAAATTAACAAATTCACAATTGTGATGAGGAAAAATGTGGACAGATGCAGTATTTTGACTAAATGCCAAACAGGTTTTGCAAAACCAGACAATACTGTAAAAAAAAAGCCCAGGACTTACGAATACTGGCTGGTTTCATTGTGTCCAACATCTGGGGAATGCAACTTCTGGACTAAGATACGGATGATACAAATGAAGAGAATGAAGTTCACCTGTTGGGATGGAGAGAAACAGGAAAAAGAAAGATAAAAATCATGCCCCTGCAGCATTGTTCTGCAGTGAAAAGAAGAAATTGTTAAAAGGGGGGGGGGGGAGGATGCCTTTCACTGCAATATTTTTGCCACGGAGCAAGCCGTTGTTAAAAAGCCATGAGCAGAGAACCCCACTCTAGGAGCACACAGTAAACCGACACAGGATGGCAGCCATCTTGGGCCTGACATCAGCCTGCTTGGGACTTTGTGTCATACATCCCAAGTATGATGATGTCAAACCCATAGAGCACAGCTATGCACGACGTCCTGCCGACGACAGGGTGGGAAAGGAGCCTTGGGAGTTAGCGGAGCGACGGACGTCAAAAGCCCTTGGGAGACGGTGACATGGGAGCGGCTGCTGAGCGTGTCAAAGACCGAGGCAGTGAGCCAAAGGAACCAACACAACACACAAAGCTGTATTCACTTAAGCAGGTCTCCGCTCAGCGCTGATGGGCATTCTTCTCTGGAGAGAAGTTGGAGACAACGCATAGCAAGAGTTACACCTCACCAGCACAGTGGACAGTTGCCTCTCCTACAAGGTTAGACCAGAAGACTCAGCTAGAACTGCTTCATTAACGTACTCAAGCAAAGCTAGCCTTATTTTATAGCAAACGTGTAGAGCTAGGAATGGCAGTTTTGTACAAAGTAGATGGCATGAGTTGAACAAAAATTACTGGCTTCTAAAATCCTACCCATTGAACCTTGCTGTTATTCACGCAACACATCCAACAGAAAAGTGAAGTGTGGCCTTCGTCTAGTTTAGCTTCTTTATAGTCTAGTTTAGTTTCCTTATAGTCTAGTTTAGTTTCTTTATCCATTCGTGTTCAGTGAATGCACAAAGGACTCTGATTTTTAAGATATAGAATCATAGAATCACCAAGGTTGGAAAAGACCTAAAAGATCATCCAGTCTAACCGTTCACCCATTACCAACAGCTCCCACTAAACCATGTCCCTCAACACAACATCCAGCCTTTCCTTGAACACCCCCAGGCTCGGTGACTCCACCACCTCCCTGGGCATCCATTCCAGTGCCTGACCACCCTTTCTGAAAAGCAATACTTCCTCATGTCCAGCCTGAATCTCTCCTGCTGTAGCTTGAAAATGTAATATATGTAAAGGCAGGAAGGATTGTGTCAACCAACCAATCTGATTTCCTGCAATAACAAATTCTAACATTTCCTCCAGCAACTCTCAGGTTTATATCAACAGCAGGTGAATGCAGCAGACTAAAGCCTATTTCTCATTTAGACAACAGCTCTTTTTCCAAGGCTAAGAGTGACTGGAAATTAATTATATTTCTTGGTTATGATGCATTGCCTAAACATTCTTTATCTACCCCATGACATTTATTATAGCTTCTGTTCATATTTATTTGCTTATAAAATATTTAGCATCTGACTTGATGGCAAGTAAAATTTATCAATCCAAAATAGAATTAGCTAGATCTATTACTCTAATGAGCAGTGATAGCACACAGTCTGCACCACTGCAGGTAGGATCAGAGCTGCTTCCCAGCCTCCTGCCATAAATTAAATACTGTGTTGGCTCATCATGGTTAAGAGCAGACATGAGCACATAAACAGGTGGAATGTGACTTAAAGGCTTAGTATGGCCTTAGCATTGCACGGTAGTAAACACGACTATCAAACAACTAAAAGGGTTTAGATTATTTTTCAACTTGGAATAGAATTAAAGGCACTTGATCAATTCTCAGTGCTTAATTCTTCAGGTTAGAAAGATTTTTCTAACGTTTAACTTTATATATGTATATATATCTTCCTTCAGTTGAGGCTATGCTTTATTCGAGTGGACATGCAGAATTTGTAGCATTCCTGCCTGCAGAAATCTGTTATTCATCATATGGCTGCTATCATGGCCTTCCTTTGTGACAGATTTATATGATACTTGCAAAAGTAAAATCAGATAATTGCCAGGTAGATTTTGTTTGGTAATGAGGAATTGATTTACTGACCAAAAGAAAACATGGCATCACTGATACCAGGAGAGTACGGCGTATTTCTGCACTAAAAGGTTATCTTGGGAAAGAGAGAATACAGTTTATGTCTTTTGATGATGACATAAATATTTTGAGATGTGTCATCTAAGTATTTTATTTCCTTGCAGTGCAGCGAAAGAATAAAAAGTAATTATTCCAACTGTTTCAGTTTGGAATTCCTGTATGACAAATGCTACAGAAAAGGTCTCCTTGTAAAGGGCGTAATGTATGCAGAATAAGAAGAATGTATGTCTAAGACAAGGCTTCAGTTTAAAAAAAAAATCACATTGGCTTTGATTTCTGCTGTATTCTTTCCCTTCCCTTCCCACGCATGTTTCTTGATTTGAGAAAACTCAAAGCTAAGTTTAAGTCAAATTCATTTTTCAAGTTTTGGCTCTACGCTTGACAGAGGAAACACATAATATTCACCAGGGATGGAAGTACTCAGTTCCTCAGAAGTGTCATGATTGCTAAGAACTGATCTGGAGAAGTAATGAGTTAAGCACCTTTGCCAATTTATATGGAAATTAGCCAAGCTTCTCAAGAACTTAATGCAAAAATACATAGCTGGAATCCAGCTTTGTGCTAGATGCTACAACAAGAGGCAAATAATTGTGGGAATTCATCTAGCTAGGTAGAAGTTTAAGGTAGGCCTCATCCCACATTTCTTCACATTGTCCACATCTACAACGGAACAAGTCACCCTGGGCTCTGACCTCAGAGAAACAAAAACTGGTGGCAAAATTCTAACTTATACATGGATTCATTAGCTAAAATGACTTTTTCTTGGGTCTCCAAGTATGTTCCTTGATCTCTTCTGGCTATGTGCTCCCATGGCTACTGTACCAGAGAAAAAGGATGAGATGGAGCTGGTCTGGCTTACATGAGCTCCATCTTGAGTGCCCCATCACTCAAGCTCTTCCCACAACATTTAAGTCAGTGTTTAAAGATAAAGATGCTTATCCAGAGGCTGAGCTTCTTATCCCAAGAAAGGCATTCAGTACACAATGCAATGTTATCTGTCAGTGCATTTTACGTGGATCTTTACAGAATACTTATCAAGGCTCCTTTATCCTTCCTGTCCCCTCCCCCCCCTTTTTTGTATTAAAGATGGCTTTAAGAATATGTTGATACTTTACCAAAATGGACACCAAAATAGGAGTTTTAATGATCCACCAGATTGGGGATTCTATTATTTCCTCCCAGCATCTAAAAAGTAAATAAATAAATAAATAAAGTTAAATAAATAAATAAACCAGACTTAAAACATCAATTAAAAAAAAAAAAGCAACCAGCTCTGTTACCTTCCAGGTACTTTGCTTAAATCACAGAATCAGAATTGCTTAGATTGGAAGAGACTTTATAGATAGAGTTCCAATCCTCTGCCATAAGCAGGGCTGCCCCCCACCAGACCAGGCTGCCCAGGCCACATCCAACCTGGCCTTGAACATCCCCAGGGATGGGCCACTCACACTCCCTCTGGACAGCAATGCCAGGGCCTCATCACTCTCTGAGTAAAGAATTTCTTCCTAACATCTGACATAATCTCTCCTCTTTCAGTTTAAAGCCATTACCTGCTGTCCCATCCCTAATAGTCTGTGTTAAAATGATAAAGTTGTGCGCACTGGGAAGAGCTGATGACTTTTGTTGCAGTGGCTTTGAGCACTGGTAGGTAACATTTGCTCCAAATAGAAGGCTGTGGGTGCTTTTCTCCCTGGTAATGAAATGGGCTGGAAAATGTCCCTGTTCGTTGCAGGAGAGTTGGAACAGATGACCTTTAAAGGTCTCTTCCAACTCAAATGGATCTATGAATGTATCAGGTTGAATATGGGGAAGGACGGAGATTTGCTTAATTTTCCCTACATTGAGGTCTCACTCCAGGGGAGTGCTATCAGAATCATGGATTAGTGAGGCCTCTAATGCTGACCATCATCCTGGCTAAGGATTTATTTGGGCACAGAGTAATTGGCACTGCTGGAAAAACAAACATCCCCTTCTGAAAGAGATAACAGAAGGTGTGGTGGGGTTACCTGCAGTAAATCCAGCTAGATGCATCCAAGCAGCCCTTTCATTCAGTTAAAGTGGCCCTCGTTATTGCTGGAGCACTTCATTTTTAAGAATTCTGAATGAAGGTCACTTTAATTTGGAGTTTAAATTTCTAAATACGAGCTTAATGCTGTTTAACAAATCTTACCTAATTAGGTTTTATTTAACCTGGGTTAATTCCTTGCAACTTTGTTGGTAATTTTAATATGCAAAAAGAAATAATCTATGTTAGGTGTTAACATATTCTGTATATTCACACTGTTTTACTTGGCATAAAAATGTTGAGCTTTAAAGCCTCTGCTGCAAAGCAGTCTGCATTTTTATTAAGAATTACTGGAGCAGAGTGGGAATATGTATAGGAAGAAGAATTGGTAGTCAGAATGGTTAAATCCTTTGGTCTCTATCTCATTTTTAGAGGCTATTTATTAACACAGTAAGTAAGGTCAGTTTTATGCAGATAGAGTGAGACCATAGAAGAAGTCAGCAGTCCTAAGGAAATGTGTTAGCACGACTATACCTCAAAAACACAGGGAAAAATCTGAGCTGTTTCCTTTACTGAAATAAGGACAAATCAGGACACGTTTGGAGAGAGACTGCAAGGGGGAAAATGGAATTAACCATGTGCTGTAAATGCATGATGCAAGGGCATGCACAGCGAGTGCATAATGAGCACCTGAATCTGTGATGCTCTGCAGTGTTTTCTCATAAAAGCATTTCAAACTACCCCAGTTTGACTACTGAGTCAAAGCATGATGGATCAGATCCTGTTTACTTGCATGTATCCTTGGGTAGCTCAAATATGTGCCTCATTTGCTTACCTGTATTCTATCTATTTCTTACATAAAGTGTCAAAGGCAGCTGTTATGTTAAAGAGGATTGGAGAACAGATCCAAAGATCTGCCTGGAAAAAAAGATCAAGAGTTTTCAGAGCTTTTCTGAGGGAGCTAATGGATGTGTTTATGAGGTTTCTGGTGTTCTAGAGTATGCAGGGTCAGTTCTGTAGGAGCTCTGATCTCAGCACAGGGCTCAGGGGAGCAAAAGGGGACGGTGGGGGATCTGCTCACAAATCTGCACATATGTTCACAGCAGGAAAGAAAAGTGAGTCCATAGGCTTACCCAACATTGAAAAAGTAAATCCTGACGACCGTCCAAGCAGTGATGAACACGGAAGGGGCACCTGGTGAGAGGAGAGATGGTGTTACTGTCACAAACCATCAGGCATGCTTTCACCACTGCTCCTCACTCCAGGATGGTCTGCCTGAGGAGAGCTGTCCTGCTCCATCTCTGTGGTCCCTTTTTCCTCTTTCTCTGTTTGTTGTCTTAGATTAGATTTAGATTGGAAACATCCCAGGTAGGAAAGGTTTCTTTGTTTTGGGTTAATCACAGCATTCTTCATTAACAGTGATTTCCAAACGCAACGGTAGTGCAAACAGAACAAGTATGTCCAAGTTATTAATTCTTGCATAATCCATTTCAGATCCACACTCTTGCAAATGATGGATGACTGAGAGGCCAAAAATCCTTCCACTGCCCTTCCTCACCCAAAGAACCTGAGAACACATTACCAATGCAAAAGATTTCCTTTGATTTTAAATCATACATTCCTCTTTAAGATCTTTCAGAGGCACTGTGCTGAAAGGATCTCTACACAAGCCAGGTTTAAAGAAGGTCTGATCTGATGCATCTGAAGCCAGGCCTGCTAATATCATCTCTCCCCACACTTACAGCATGGAGAATTGCCTCCCTTTTGCAGAGTGAACCCAAGCGTAACTCCTGTCACTTTCAATGGAAGTTACTGTACAGCTAACTGGTCAAACCTTGAGTCCAGGCATAACCTTCCAAATGACACAAATGCTTTTTCCCCTTCCTTTTCAAGTTTATTGCCTGCTCTAATTATTTCCCAGTTTCAGCTACAGAGAGCACAGAACAGAAAGCCTTTTTAGCTTGCTTATACATACTTCTCCAGCTAAATGACTTACAATGTCTTTGGAGAAAGAAGTCTATCTAGTAGGATTAATTTCGTATGTTAGTATTTCAGCTCTGGGCAACCTTGTGAAGTTTCATTTTGTCTTCTTCCCCTTCCTCTTCCCCTTGTCAGGATAGCTATCTAGCCTGATCTCAGCAAGGCAAGAAGAGCAAAGGATTGCAGAGTCTGGTTGAATCCAGCAGTCCTGCTTAGTTCATCCTTACATTTTAAAGTCAGTGCTCAATACAACCTTGGGATCCCAGTATGGATCAAATAGGGGTTTCAGCCAAAAGACCTTTAAGACACTGAGGTGCACAACTATCAACGAATCGAGCACAAACTAAGCTCTTAAATAGTTTTGAAGGTTAATGGTGTTAAGCTCCTCTGACCACTGGGGGTTAAATTGCTGTTAAAAATGCCTGCCAGGGTTACCACCTGGCATTCAGGCCTGAGAAGATGCATACCCCAGCCAATTAAGATGTACCACCAGAAGTACTTCCTCTCTGAAAAGAAGGAGATGACCAACAGGGTGTGAAGATACAGCCCTTCCACCAGCAGCCAGAAGAAGTTGGCCATGACGCAGTACTGGAAGAAAACCATCATGGCTTTGCAGCCTACCTGGAAGAGAAGAAAGGAAGAAACAGTGGTGATCTGTTGCACATTTCCATTGTGAACATCCAAAATTCCCAGTAAACCTTGCTCTGTGTGTAACTCTGAGATTGCTTTTTTGCAGCCCTTGAAGTCCTTACGGGATAAGTCCTGGTGTAGGGAAACTGCTTTGGCAGGGGGGTTGGACTCAATGATCTCTGGAGGTCCCTTCCAACCCCTGCAATTCTGTGATTCTGTGAAGTCCCATGTGAAGAGCCAAAAGGCCTTCAAAGCCTGCACAGGGACATACTCTGGGTGCTTGGCAGGCATTAACCAACTCATGAGAATGTGATTCTGAACTGAGATCAACCCAGTGGCTCATTTATGGTGCAACCCACAAACCCCTGATTCAGCATGATGGAGGCGATCTGAACTGGAGAAGAAACAAGAAGAAGTGATTGGGTTTTTTATGCTACTTTTGCCACCAAAGTCATTATCTTGATGGACATCATCTTGAGCGACTTGAGCATCATGGTCCCCCATCATTCACACAGGGCTGCCTTCCCCAATCCACAGAAATGAAGTCTCTGGTGAATAAACTGATTACCCAGGTTAAATAAAAACAACAATAACGATAAAAAAGTAGCTCTTGTAAACAAAATCCAATTATAATCACCCCATGGCCTGGCAGCTATTGCAAAAACTGAAGGGGTCTGACAAAGGACTCTGAAGAAAGTCAAGTCTACAAACAATTGTGAATGCTTGTTAAGAAAAGAAGAAAGGCTCAGTTAAGAAAAGTAAAAAGCAGAGGATAAGAAGGGAAAAGAGGGTAAATGCTAATGACATGGACAGATTAGATTGCAATGCAAGGAGAAAGCTGAAGTGAGAAGGAGGGCTGCTCTTCCTTGGAAAATAAATAATTAAGCACAGCAACTTGCTGTGAAGTCCTCACTGCAGCTCAGAACTAACGCTTACAGGTAATGGGAACAGTCACCTAAGAAAAGAAAAATGAGGAAAAAGAAATGAATAGGAAATTTCTCTCCAGCACTCAATGGCCCAAACAACTGCAAAACATCTGAGGGTTGAAATCAGCTGGCCAAAGAGCTCTGTTAGCACCTGCCATTGCCCCAGCACCGTTCTCCAGACTCATTTAGAAGAGTGCATCAATTGCATCGTTACTTATATTACTTATTATATACCTACATCCGTATTGCTTAAGCATCCCTGAGATGTTCAGAAATAGATACATTGGTTTCAGTGGGTCTGCTTAGGTTATACCCTGCTCTTTTTGGGCCCGGGCATGAAGATCTGATTAGCAGCTCTTCCTCGGTGTTCTGCATTTGCACCACGGTGAATTTAGAGCAATAATTGATTTGCACGAGTGACAAGCTCACTCACACATCCCCCCCTGCTCCTCTCTCCTGCTGAAAACAGTTGCTATGAAACATGATGGTATAAAAAATTAAAAAAAAATAATTAAAAAAAAAGAAGGCATAAAAAGTGTTTTCTCGATGCCATATGTTTGGTGAGAGACTTGTCCCCACTGATTGCTCAGAATTAGCCCACCCCTCCCCTATCACCCATTGGCATTTTGCAGTGGGGTCTTCATGGGCTCCTGCTTGCCAATCTGTATGCACAGCAGCTGCCTGCTGCAAGGCAGATGGCACAAGCAGAGACTTGCTGCAGGGTGGCAATGGGGGAAAGTGGTGGCACAGCAAGCACTTCACTCCCAGGCAGAGAAGGTAACACTGAGCTGAGCTGACAAGGGCCTGGGATGTGTCATCCTCCTCCCCAGGTCATTCCTCTGCTCTTTGTTTTTTCCCTGCCTCTGTGTGGATATGAGTGACACTTGTTCCTTTCATCCAAAGCCTGGGCCATCTGCAGCCAGTGGGGATTTACTGGTGGGAGTGCACTCAGCAGCATTTAGGAGCTCCCAGGTGAGATTTAGGGGAGCAAAATGTGATGCATTTCAACTACATGCTCCTCAAACGTGGATTTGCTTTGGGTAATGAATTTTGGGGAATCCTTTCTGGATGGGTATGATGAAGGAATGGCAGAGGCATGAGGCTGGAGCACGTCATAGAATCACAGAATCACAGAATGGCCTGGATCAGAAGGGACCTCAAGGATATTAGGCTCCAACACCTCTGCCACAGGCAGGGCCACCAACTTCCACATGTAATACTAGACCAGGCTGCCCAGGGCACCATTCAGTCACAAGGCATAGAGGCAGAGTACAAGACCAGGAATGACAACTCACAAAACTCCCTTCTTAAGGGGTCTGTGAGCAATTCTTCACGCTGTGCTGGGAGATACATGGCAATTTGAACAGTTGCTACTGTCACAGGCATTTTTCACTTAGCACAAAAAAAAATATATATATTTATGCATCAGAGTGAGCACAGGCTGATAATGTATTGCAGTCTGAGGTCCTTTGTGACACAAGGATGTCCTGCACTGGCAGATTTGGGTGCCCTGGCATGGACCAAGCCAACACTATCATAGAATATGCTGAGTTGGAAGTGGATCATCGGGAAGCCTATAGTCACAGAATCACCAATGTTGGAAAAGACCTTCAAGATCATCCAGTCCAACCATCCACCTGTCACCAATAGTACTCACTAAACCATATCCCTCAACACAAAGCTATATAACCACAGTAGTACACAATGGTAAAGCTATATAATCACAAGCTGACTCTATAGGTGGGACTCCGACAGCTGATATCTACAAAATCATCTTTAATTTTTTTCAGCCATGCAGATCCAGACAATACTGTCAAGAACATCCAAGGTGTGATCTGCCTCATCCACAGATAAAGGATACCGGATGTACTGTAAAAATACCTCTTTTCCCACCAACTACAGAGGGAACATGGAGAGATCAGCAAGACATTTTCAGCATGAAAAGAAGCATTACAACACTGCTTGCTTGATTTTCTCCCATCTTCTGCCTCATTTGCAACCCCATCTTTCTCTAGGTGGCTTGCACTGCTCGTGTCCACATGAGATGTTGCAGTGAGACTGTCTACCCAGACTTTGTTGATGACTTATTGACTCAACAAGCTCCTCTCTTCTCCCCATCTTCAAGATTACATTAGCCACAACCTGTTTGCTTTTTCCATGAAGGTCTCCTCCATTTCCTCCTATGCTAATAGCCACCAACTACGGAAACCAATTCCACCTCCAGTTAAGGAGGGACAGAAACCTTTTTGACCTAAACAAGCACTTCTGTGCTTCTCATTAAATCCATCATAATCAGTAAGATAATTTCATCTTAATTATTTCAGAAGTTTATGTGAGGGTGAGACAAAGGCATAGCTTATGGCTACTGAATGGGCCAACCATCTATGTTGCAAGCATCCACATGCAGGGCTCTGAGGATTATACGAAAGGGAGACAGTGCAAAACTAATCTGCTTATAAGTAGGCTGTTCATGATCTTGTAGGCAGTGTCAGGTATTTGTTGGGCCTCCAGTTACTGCTCCACATGGAGTAAGATCTTCTGCAGGCTCTATCTTTTTCCTAAATGATGAATGATGAGGTTATTCACAGGCATTTCCTTGTTCACTGCAGGGAAATTGGACTCGTATGACCTGTAACAGTCCCTCCCAGCTCAAATGATTCTAAGTTTGCCCATCACAAGGAATCCTTAAAGGTGGTGAGCTAGCAAGAAATCAAAATATCACAGAATCATAGAATGGCCTGGGTTGCAAAGGAGAACAATGCTCATCCAGTTTCAACCCACTGCTATGTGCAGGGTCACCAACCACCAGATCAGGCTGCCCAGAGCCACATCCAGCCTGGATGGACATACCTTACATATTGTTTTACATGATCATCCTGAAGGACACAAGGAAGGACGTATTTTCAAATGCAGACACATCTTTGAAATCAATTTCTATTACTTTTCATTGTGGATGTGCAGAACACGTGAATCAGGCTGCTTTCTGGTCACAGAGTACTTAGCATTCCCATTTAGAATGTATATCGGGATGAATGTCTGCTTTCTGGACAGGAACCAGACCTATGACTTTCAAAGCAAGGATTCATGTCACATGGGACATATATTGCCCTGTTAGACAAATCTGCTGTGGGATCACATTGATTTAGATACTGAGAAGAATAATCTGAAAGCTAACAAAGAAATAGAGAAAGTAGAAGAGAGTGCATTTGCTTTGTAAGAGAACACCTTGCAGTCGTGTTAGGGCAAATATTTAATAAGCCTTTGATACTTAGGAATGCAGCCAGTCCTTCCAAAAAGGAGGGTGAGTACAGTGGTTAGACTGGTGGAGTGATGCAAAGAAATATGCTTGGCTGAGAATCTGGGCAGAGATTTTAGGATGTCAGCAGAGGGTCAAATTGAAAGTTTACTGTAATGATGGAAAAAATAACAGGGCTACACAAAGCCAGCATGCAGCACAGAGATCAGGTCCTACAGTAGCTGCAAAAAACACAGCCCACTTTGTCAACTGGTAGGAAAAATGTACTCAAGACACAAGCAGGCTTTCTCAGACAGGTGCAGAGGAGCATGAGGGTGGAAAAAACAAGGCTGACCAGTGATCACAAGCTACCAGGCTCTGCGCTTTATACTTTAGTGTTAGTCCTGAGAAATACATTTTTCTCATAAAACTGATGTAGCAACTAGTTGAGTCACCTGGAGTAATGCAGTCCAGATGCTGGAGGCAGTGATTAACAAGGAGTTGAACATGTTGCATTATATACATATATATCCTACCTGTCAGCAGTATTAACTCTGTGCAAGATATCTCTGTTCATTAATAATTGCTAAGGAATGGAAGATTCAACCAGCATCTGAATTTCTCTAGCTCAGTATAAGCAGCTTAGTTGGACAGGAGTTGGTCTAAGGAGGTTTTAATGGAAGCACACACACAGTGCACATGTGTGCATGCACCAACCTACTGGGAATGCAACAAAACATCAAGAGGTCAGTTAGCTTCACACAAACACTGTTGTGCACCAGAGATCACCACTGCACTAGCACACGTCTTTACTGAAGATAAGGTATGTT